AGAGATTGCTTCACTGATGTGAACGCATCTTCTTGTTTCTTAGACCATGTCCATGCTGTATCTTTTTTCAAAAGATCATACAATGGCTTAGTCTGCTCCGCATAATTCTTGCTGTACTTATGCAAGTAATTAGCGAGCCCAAGAAATTGGCGCAGGTCCTTCACATGACGTGGTACTGGCCATTTCTTTATAGCCTTTACCTTTTCTGGGTCTGCTCGTACACCATGTGCACCAACAATGCAGCCCAGTAAAGGTATCTCGAGGACCCCTATTACGCACTTTTGCAAGTTCACGTATAATTGGGCGTCACCCAGAGTCTGCAACACAGCGTCTAAATGACGCTTGTGCGACTCTATCGCGCTCAGACCGTCCTCCGCCCTACTATGCACGAATACATCGTCAAAGTAATGGGGCGCGTAGGCACGGTGCTGACGCATCACGTGAGCTACCACTCGTTTGAATGTTGCTGGAGCATTTTGCAACCCTTGTGGCATCACAAGCCACTCCCACAGCATAACGCTTGGGGTACTTACTGCCGTTTTGGCTACATCGGTATCTCTCATGAGAACCTGATAGTAGCCATCCTTTAGATCCAACGCGGAAAAGATAGTTGAATTTCCCATGGAATTCAACAAAACATCTTTCCGCGGTATCGGTTTTTGAGCTGGAATGGTGGCCGTGTTCAGATTATTATAATCATGAACCACGCGCCATCCACCCGTGGCTTTACGCACACAGAAGGTCGGGCTGCAGTGAGGCGACTTGCTCTCACGTACATGTCCCGCCTTGGCTCGCTTGTCGAAAAACTCATCGATTTAATCGACTTGTTCCTTCGGCAACGGCCATTGCCTGGTCACACAATACTTGGTGCTAGGCTTCAGGTAAATCTAGTGCCTGATGCCCCTATCGGCCGGTAGGCGAATCGGCACTTTTGCTGGAAACACATCACGGTGTTTCCACAGAACATCATAGAACGGACTGTCCTTCAAGGCATCCCAGCCTTGAGCAGCGAACCGTTTCTTTTTGTCGGTCTCCAAGACGCTCTCATCCATTGTGGATGAAGAGCAACAGTCCACCACGTTCTCTTCTGGAACTGCTGCGACTATCTCGTGGTTCTTTCCTTCCTTTAGTTCGGACAGGAACAGATCCCACGTCATCTCCGAGAGATTTACTATCTCCTCGGCAGATGCCAAGACAAGTTGGAGCACCTCAAGTGAGGATGCCTCCGGCATTTTGTCTTCGACGGCCTCGAACAACTCGTTCGTAGGTCCGTCCTCTTGTACCGAGACTGATCCAAGGGTCACTCGTTTCGACGTGCCCTTGATCGTCTTAATACGTCTGGTGCTCGTTCTTCGAGTCAACACGACCTTTGACCTGGAAGAAGGTGCCGTTGCTATCTCGGCTAACGCACTCCTTCCAACCGCACCAGGCTCTTGGATCTGTGCCGGTTCTTGTGGCGCTTGACTTCCTGTCAGCCCACCATCAACTGCCACAGGCTCTCGGCTCTGTGCAGGACTATTGGACGCATGACTACCTGTCATCGCCCCATTCACTACACCAGTCTTTTCGACCTGGGTAGGAATATGTGTCACCTGGCTTTCCGCCAGTGCACTTCCAGCTACACCACTCCTTTCGAGCTGGGTAGTTCCTGGTGTCGATTGACATACCGTCATCGCACCCTCGACTGTGTTGAACACAGCATCAGTCACATAAGCCTCTCGCTAGAACACATCCTTTCCGGTGTCTTGCGTAGAGCTAGCGACTGTGCGTGTACGCCAATCTATCCATGGTTGGTGTTTAGCCAACCAAGGCATGCCTAGGATGAGGTCATACGGACTCTCCATACCTAGCACTGTGAACTTCTCTTTACAAGAGAAGTCACTGAAACTGAAGGCGAGTTCAACTTGAACTCCCTCCGATTTAACGAGCGCGCCGTTCGCTAAACGAACGATCGCCTCTTCTCGCTTGCCATCCTGGCAAAGCGACTCATAACTCGCCGGTCTCTTTTTCAGAGCCGCGAGTTTCACAAAGTTTTGTGATGCACCCGAATCCACGAGAAGGGTCATCACTTGGTCATAGCCTCGTACTCGAGCGTTATAGACCAAAAGGGTTGAGGTCCGACCTTTCGGAACCTCAGGGACTATGCTACCCATTTGTTCTATCACTCTGAACTTAGGGGTAGCTTCAGAGTCCGCGACAGTAGGGCATCCCGCCCCTACTGCGCTCCCGCATTTCCCCATCTTGGGCAGGTGCTGAACCCGTGCGTCGTGCACGCTGATTTTTCGCACCTCCCTTCGGGTTGGGAGACCTTTTGCTGGCTGCCTTAGCACCAGCTGCTACTTTGGCATAGCAGCGAGCCATCATATGGCCTCGCTTGCCGCACTTATAGCAGATCACATCTGCATTGCCTAACTCCATAGGAGTGGCATCAGACCTTTCGGTCGACGGCCTGTAATAGGCTGTCGCCGAGGCGCTGTTGTAGGATTGCTCCTCAACTAAGGCAATGTCAATTGCCTCTTCCATCGTCGCTGGAACCTTTCTAAAAAGGGCCTGACGCGATGGGCCGTGCCTAAGTCCATTCATGAACGTGGCCACCTTGATACGTTCTGGTATCGGTTCCCCATTGATGGACGCCGACAGCGAACGCATCTCCTGCACAAATTCTTGCATAGAGCGTTTCGCCTGTCGTGCTCCAAAGAAGCGCGTCATAAGCAACACTTCGTTGTTAGGCGGCTGGTACATGGCGCGAATCTTTGCCATAAAGATCGCCCATGATGGAAATGCATCAGCATTATCCATCAGCGCAGAGTATGCCCACTCTGACGCTTTGCCACGCAAGTTGGACATGGCATACGACACCATTCTGGTGTTGTCTTCGATGAGCTGCGCCACTCCACATTGCTCCACTGCTAATAGCCAATGAACAATCGTGTGAGGGATAGTTCCATCGAACTTCGGACGGTCCATCCGAATGGGCCTCGGTTGAGTAGGCCGGGCAGAGAGCGTCTCAACAGTTCTGTTTAGTGACTCATTACGTGCCTGCTCAAGCCTAAGCGCATCCTGAGTCTTAGTGATGGACTCAGCGGTGGCTTGGCTGTTTACCTCGGACGCGTTTCTACGCTGTCCGAGCACAAACGCCTCAAATTGCTCCAACTGAGCAACATGTTGCTCAGGAGGACAATGCAAGAGGTTGACCAGGGCTTGTTCACCAAGTCCCTGCGCCATATGCTCTGCCAACTCCCTATGATGTTGGGAGAGGTGAGGGAAGTCACTCCAGTCCATATTAAGGACCATCTCAACCACACGCACGCTCAGAGAGACGGGTCGTGGGAAGGACTACTAGTGCTACCAAGTGTAGACGGGCACTTCTATGAAGTTGCCTCGTACTACGAGCACACACCTTATGCACAAGCGAGGAAGCGGTTAGACCGCCTTACCTTCGCGTGCGAGGGTGGTTGGGAGGGTTGGTCGACTGCTTAAGCAGTCGTACCACCAGTTGCCTCTCGCTTAAGCGAGAGTGCAACGAACTTCTTAACAAGAAAGCACCGACGTCACGCAGAAGCTTTTCAAATCTCGTGCGTGGTGCTTCGGAATTTAGCAAATTCAAGACTGAGTTATATTTAATTAATTATAACTAAATATATACTTAACTACTAATTGGCTATATATGTATGTATATATATATAGATCGGATACGCGACTCTTTAGAAGCGTATCCTGTCGCATGATCTTAAATCTAGATTTAAGATCGCAACTGACGTCCTTCTGAGACGTCGCGATGCCTAGCTTCAACTAGCGTCATCTCTTCTCATGTGAATCCATCAATGGATATCACATTCACGAGGGTGGATCACATTTGTGTATCGCACCCAAGTGACAGGTCAAGAGTAATCATGGATACTTTTAGACCAAACATTAAGTATATTACTTAAGGTTTACGTGTAACTAGATACCCTGTTACATTTATCGAGATAGTATTTTACTCTAGCTGAGCAATTTGATCGTAGACTCGTACCGCACGCATGTCGCTTATTTTCCGCCGTCACCCTGAAAGCTTATGAGGCTTATCACGTAGACGCTACGTGTAAACCGAGGAGACGCGTGGTGCAAGGGTTGTGTAGGCATGTGAACAAATGAACAAACGGTGAACTGCCCATTCAAAAGTTGATGGTCATTGCTATTTAAAACGAATGTACACACTTCGTATATCCTGCCCCATGACCTCACACAAGGAATAGTCTCCAGCACTCTCATAGCCATGTAGTCATCGCAGTGTCATTTAGTCAAGGTCCTTTACTCTTTGACTCAAAATTGTTTGCCGACATGTAGCCGAATTACGACATGGTCGCCTCCCTCTACGTGGGGACTTAGGTCACTGGCTCGAAAGGAATGGGACAGCGCACGTCGATAAGAAGCGCAATGATGATGGTTAGTAGAAAGGCACGTCGGTGTAGCGTACATGTAGCATGTAGCAATACGAAGCTTACAAAGCGACGAGGGGCGTGTCGACCTTAATCGGACGGACATTTTCGGGTCGTTTGAATAATTAAATGACTGTAATGTACCCAAAAAAGATAATCGCCTCCAGCAATAACACGTGACATGGTCGGACTTCTACAGTGCCATTGCAGCAGCTCTAGTTAGAACCGCGTGGATTAACTAATGGTTTACGCAAGACGTTGTCGGACATCCCACGCCCAGACCTCGGGTCATCAAGTTGGCACCTTGCGTTTTTAGTTAAACCTAGTGAATTAGATAATGAAGCTAAAAAATGTACCATAAGTTATAACAGGTAAGCTTAAGCTTGACGCAGCAAAAATCATCAGCACCTCTCTCTTTTGCTAAGTACTAAAACGCCATAAGTAAATTTCGGCCATATACGACGTAGCACATGCGTCAGCGCATGTCTGCTAATCTATGAATGCCCGCGTTTTTGTACCGTGCAGACCCCTTCGGCGAGTATTATGCTGTTTCAGACTCGATTTTGCAGCGTTTTAGGAATGGTGGCGGTCCCAGTTCAGCCGCCGCGCCAAGCTGCGCCACTGTCAGCAGAAGACCAGCTGAAATTCCAGGAGATGACCATGCAATTGCTGGACCGCACCTTACGAGACATGGATGAACATGACGCGGATCCTCGTTCGCACGACAAACAGGACCCTCGTGTGTGGAAGAGAATTCACCACAAAGAGCATTTTACCACGTACACGCGGTGCGATGACGCACCTGAAGCAGCCTACGTGGCGGCAGACGGCGGCCGTAGTACCACGTCTCGACCGTCCAAAGATGTGGTGCTTGGTATGGGTTTTGTTCAATGTCCACTCAGTGAATTGATGTACGGCGTCTTTATGGGCAACAGCCAGGCGATGGCACTTAAGTCCGCCGTCGTGGACAAGAATATCGGCAATGGGGCTGTACTCAAGGAGCTCCTGGGGCCCACTGAGGAAGACCCGTTCCGATTTCTTGCGCTCAAGTGGATCGAGGTGCGGCCGCCTCGTGGCGTCTCTGGAAAGCTCGTGGCGCCCCGAGAAGTGATGTTCCTAGGAGGCACAGGTACCATGAGACGTCGCGGTACGGGCGACTTTATCGGCTACGAGGTGCATCATTCGATTGACCACCCGGCTTTCCCTCCTGTGGACGGACTGCGACGCACGCGCATCGTTATCGGCTCCATCTATCGCGAACGACCCAACGGAACGGTCGACTTGTTTATCAAGAGCTACAGCATGGAGGCTGATATGGGCAGCATCCTTGGTCCTTTGGCCATGGCCCATGCGGCCAAGTGCATCGAGCAGGTTTGGACCGTGCCCGACTTTGCCTATGCCAAGAAACTGCGGTGGTGCATTGACCACCGCGTGCACAGCAACAACGCCAAGGCGCTCCAAGCCAAACTGGCTAAGCGCTGCGCCTCATGCGATAAGAGCGTGGCCACAATCTGGAAGTCTAGAGCGGCGTACCGCATCTGCAATCTGTGCAAGGCGCCGCTGTGTTCCAACTGCCGCGTTAAGAAAGATCTTTACGAAATTGACCCGTATTTTCGTGCTCGCAAATTCCCGGTGCGGATCTGCCCTCCCTGTCGGGAGTTCGTAAAGCTGCTGGACGCGAAGGAGATCCAGAGACAGGAAATGCTGCGACCTCAAAGCGCCGAAGCGGTTAACCCGTTGACGCCCAGCACGCTGGATGTGCTGGCACACAATTTCTCGCTGGACAATAGTTTCTGTACAGCATCAGTGGAGAGTTTGTGCATGATGGACTCGCCTCGTGCACGCTCCGACAGCGTTAAGACTGACTTACTACATTGAGGTAAACTTGTAGGAACTAGCTGAGAAAAAGCAGACAACTGTACGTGATAAATTTTTGTTCAGGATTTTGTGAAAAATTTGAGTTAATGCTTTCTTGTACAAGCGATTTCATTGATGAGATGAAGGTGCATTCAGCGACTCGATTGATCTTTGGAGTGAGTTTAGAAATGGATTTGGCCACCATGCTTAGATCCACCATTTGTGACCAAATTTGTTCACGGTGCTCACGTTCAGACAGCACCACTTCATCACGCTCGGAAATTCTAGCTTGAGATGTCTTGGCAAGCTCAGCGCCTCGAAACGAGTCGATGGGCGGATGTGCAGTCGGCGATAGTACAAAGAGTAAGTACCCTTCTTTTGCAGATAGTGGCAGTGAAGCTCACCGGGTATTCGTGAAAACTTCCAACAGCATTTGTCGCCAAAAACCAATCGGCCTACGTGCGATGTTCACGGATGCAAGGCGGTCGACTTGAAGCACACAACGGTTTAAATAAGCACGTCCTCCTGTCGAAGTTGCAGTTGGTGTTGACTTCTTTGAAAGTACAGGGAATTCGACAATTGGAGCAAGTGGTTCGAGACTCCGCACAGAAAAAGAAGGCGCTACTTACCTGTTAAACAAGTCGTTGGTGCACGTCACGCAGCTGCTTGAGAATAAAGCGAAAGAGGTTGGGGCCAGCGAGGAAATCGAGAAGCACTAAAAACGTTTGCGTAGTCCTGGTGTCTGCTATAGTAATGCTACTGCTAATGTGTAAACTTTTACTTGTAGAGACAGGCTTATGTTTTCCTTGACCTCCATCCAGCAGCTGACGGAGGCCTTACATAAATTTCTTGACGTTTGTGCACTCGACTGTATTTCAGGAGGTATAAATTCTGGTTACATAAGCAAAAAAAGCAAATCTCAATTTTAACCTTTACGTCGAGGTGTCGGCAACAATAGACGACGTCGCAACCATTTTCTGTTCGTGTCACCCAGATGCATGTATTGTACTACCTTACGGACTACTGAAGCGGAATGTGTACGTCGACGAGTTGTCGAAGAAAGCGGACAAACTACATCCCAAGAAGGCACTGAGTCCAAGTGGATGTTGAGGTAGCCGACTTCATTGAGGTCTGCTCGGTCTACACAACGACGTGACAGAAACACGATGTTACATACGCCAATACGTGATGCTGCAAACAACCTGACGATGAGTTCTTCAAAGATAATGAAAACTGCACCCTCGTGCATTCGCCACAATGGCAACGAAGACGCGGTGATGTCCGTCGCTATCAGTCACTCATGTACGAAAGGCTTCGTAGTCATATCGACTGCGCCCACGACTGCATGTGCGCTATCGTTTATGCATATACGTCATACATATTCAGCCGCAGCAATTGGCGAATACATAGACAACAACGATGGCTTTAGCGACTTGGGGGTAGATTGTAAAGGTCGAAGCTGACCTTGGTGCAGGGAGATCAAAACTTTGACGATGCACCAACACCCTGGGATATCATGCGATACCCCTGGGGCCCCGGGTATTCGAGAGCACTACCGACCTCTCCATGCGAAGTTAATCACCTTTTACAGTACATGTGTTCGGCAAGTGACATTCAACCCCGAAAATGCATAACCTGTGAGAACGAATCCTGCCGACCTCTCCTAGCGAAGTTAATACCAAATAATAAAAACACCAAATTCAATCAACCCTGGGATATCATGCGGCCGCTCCCTTTTTAAGTTGCGCTGTCTACCAAAGCACGCGCAGCGAGGAGAAAACCTACCTCGTTTTTTCTTACTCCACTATGGTAGACGTCATCACAAAGCAAAGGGGTTTGGTACGTCGGCCCTGCGGAGGGCTCTATTCTTGTCCATTTGTCGCACTTGGCTAAGCTATGCATGCGCTAGCATGCGATATATCAGAAAAGACAATGTAGAGATTCGACGTAATTTCAGGAATTCACCCGGGCTGGTGGAAGGTTGTACGCATGCCCAATCTAGTGTCTTGTTAGAACCTTGAGGGTCACGATCACGATCCTGGCAAACCAAACGCTTTATTTTTGTTGACAGAGATGACTGTCAATAGGATCTGCAAGATTAGAAACTGCTTGTCCTTTTGTAATACATGTAGCGCTAAATTTCTTATTCAAGTCGTGTGGCGGTGGTGGTTGCGTGTCTTTGTCGCTAGAGACCGACTATCAAATGACAGCTGGTAGAAGAGCGGAATCGTCGACACGTAAAGGCGTTTTATGCGTGGGAGGCTGTGCATGAGAAGTATATGTATGTCATTGCACGTGAAAAAGAAGCTGAAAGGTTGAACAGCCTCTCTCTTTCCGTAATAGTTTTTTATTTGGGGTTTCTTTGGGGTTGGTTGGGGGGGTAGGCGCATAGACGCTCAGAAAGTCAGCGAAGCGAGCGACTCAGGGGACCGCATGATATCCCAGGGTGTTGGGCTCCACCAAAAAAATTTTCCATATATATTTTTTTAGTTACTACAACATGCGCAGCCTGAACTGGTCTAAATATGTCCTTCGTAACATAATAACCTCTAATAAAATCCAATGATCCCGAGCGGGTACAAGCTACTTATTTACCTGTCTCAAAGAATAAACTTTGTAAATAGATAGAACGTTCGCGTCCTCTAAGTATTAATTTAGACAGGCTATACTGAACCGCGAAGAGAATTCTCCATTCAGCACCGATCTAGGACAATCTGAACAAGTGAGAGTTAACCCGAAAAGCAGAGCAAGTCGACACCGCGCAAGAGGCCAGGGATTTGTCATGATGATGCCTGTTGGAATGCTACAGGACTCCCGGTTATGCGTCCAATGTCCTTGAAAGCAGATTGTGTGAGCAACCGGATAAGTGTGCGCATTTATAACCTCGGACTTATTGGACCTACTCACGGGGCGTCCAAGTATTGAGCCAGCCGAAAAAGGGAGCGAGGGGTAGAATCATTGCGTCATGGCACAACCATGAGATTTTTTTTTTTGCACATAGTCAACACAAATACCAGCACCTTTCTATGTTTAGGGGAATTTTTTGCGATGAACGACACCCTCGCTCTCCCCGGTCGTCGATGCGATTAGCTCAGTCTCGAAATTGCAGCATCGAATACACCTCTACTTAAATACACCCACCAGCGCTACAAAATTACAATGGTGTCTCTGACGTCCATCCTAGCCATGGTCACGTTTGTTGCCACGACCGTTGACTACGTGGAGGCACACGGGTACGTTAAGTGATCCTCCATGCTCCTTCATAGGGAGTCTCAGAAAACTCCGGCTGGGTTGTTGAAATTCCTCCCCCGTGGAAGGGTGACTGGGATGGCTGCAATAGCTTTGAGTGTTTGTTAGCGTTGTTCAAGAAGCTGAGGGCTGCCAACAACTACAAAGATGTCCGATCGCTGATGGACGGTAACCCTCTATACGGCAAGGACTGCGGTCACACGGATCCGAAGGCAAAGCCCGTGCCTCCTCCTTCCAACGGCCAGGCCACCTTTTCTCGTCCTATAGGGCACTCTGGTCCGTGCGAATTATGGCTTAACAACAAGAGGGTGTTTTACAGCGATGATTGCCAGAGCAGCCACCCTGACGGCATTTTTAAGCCAGTGGACTACTCGTTATGCGGTTCAAATAGCTGCATCCTTCGCTTTTACTGGCTAGCGCTGCAGCGAAAGGGTAAGAACACTGTGTGGCAGGCGTATAAGAACTGCATTAATATCTTGGGCCCTTCCGGCGGCGGAGGTGACAATGATGTCTCTCAGGAGGAGCTTTCAGGGAACTCGAACGTTTCGCAGAACAACACCGCCAGCAAGTTCAAGGATAATTCGGCAAACAAAAACGAGTTGAAGAAGTCGGACGAATCGAAAGACTCGAAGAAAGAGTCTAATGAATCGAAAGACTTGAAGAAGGAATCGAAAGACTCTTCAAAAGAGTCAAAGAAGGATTTAACCGAGACGCCTCCCGCTGGAGGAGACTCTTCTCAGACACCTCCCGCTGGAGGAGACTCTTCTCAGACGCCTCCCGCTGGAGGAGACTCTTCTCAGACGCCTCCCGCTGGAGCGTCTCCCCAGACGCCCCCCCCTGAGACACCGGGTTACTCAAGCGCTTCTTTGCCCGGCACACCCGCGATGACGCCTGCCCCAAACAGCAAATGCAAGGGCCGTCGTCGTCGACGTTACTAGACTCCCAAGGGAAGGAGGATACTAGCGTTGTTCTTTGCACTCCTGATTACCAAGATTGCAATAATATACGTGTACCGTACTGAGCTGAAAAAGCGCCAAAGTGTTTTTGCAGCAGAGAGAATAGCTTAGAAGAATGGCTATTAATTGAATGTCTTTGTATGTCATAAGCGTTTTTACATAGTGTTTTCGTTCTCAAAATTTGCATCTACATGCGCAGAGGTTGCCGGCAATTGAGACCATCTGCTTTGAGGTCTATAGAATCTGCGCTGTGTAAAACTTAGCTCCTATGTCAAAGGAATTTTGTGCAAGTATCTAGAATCTGCATTAAAACTTCGACTAACGAAATTCCGTTCTTGCTCCCCACTTATTTGCAAATACCTCTCGGCTCCTGTAACGGGGTGAGCCCGTTACATAATATTGACACTTCATATAAGTTTCAGTTAAAAAATTATTATATTTAATAATATTTGACAATATTATCTTTTCTTATAATCATGTTCTCGCATCTCCTTAAAGTTGGAGGTGCCCTCTTATATTGTAGATATGGGCCATCATATCAACCAACGCGCTGACCAATGACCAATGGACGCGCGCAATGAATGGAGGGCACGAAGGTAGCATACATAGTTGTAGTTTACTATAGTTAAGTCAAGATTATTGATGATTTAGCCTTTTGTAGAATAGTTTAACTATATTATACAGTTCTCTTTTCCTTCTCAATTAAGCACTTGTTGAGTTGATAAGCTTCCTCTGCCTCTTTGTGTAAGAAAGGTTTTGAAGCACCAGCTTTAACTTTCATCAATAAAAGTAGACTATACTGCTATCAGTATAGTCGTAAAGTGCCCCTTTACACCTGGTAACACTTCGTGGTCTGTTCAGCGACCACTGCACCACCCGCTATGGGAATCAGCGGATGATGATTTTCGCCATTTGAGTGACCTCGAATGGAACGCAATTTAGCGTATGGCTGAAACCATCGGCAACCCTGCCGTTGGTGCCATGTTGCTGTAGTGGAGTGGGTTCTCAAAAGTGTATGATGAGACCCCAAACCACTCACTGTGCCGGACTGCCGACTGTCGGAGGGGGTACCCCGATGCCGCGTATGAACCTTCTCTACCCGTCGGCTGGCGGGTTGCAATCTTCGGAGGACTTGAGTAAAAAGATGCAGACGACTGCCTTGAGGGAGGCAGACCTGGGGGGCCTCGAGTGGATATGATTCACTCGGTGGGCCGGTAGGTGGCCACTCGATCGACCTTGTCGAGAGTGGACTTAGAGCCAAATTCTTCAGGGAGCTTGTCGTCCCTGGCCTTTTCCTTCTGTTTCAGGGGCATCAACCACCTGACCTTTACGTTGCTCCCGGACCTGGAGGTGAGGGAGACCGCTTCCAATAGCGGGTCTTGGGGGGTGTTGCTCGAACGAGCTCACAAGCCAAATATATCCTGGAGCTCTATTCGCACTTGAACTTCGCTACACAACTGTCTTCGACGGGGGGCCAAAAGATATCCCTTCCCGGAACAGTGAGTAACTTAGAGCAAGTTCTTCTTGGGTGACGGAGTCGTGCCACGTAGATCCCAATTTGAGTAGTATTTAATATAGTCCTATCCTTTTAACTCCTTTACTCTATCCTTGCCTGAAGCTCTGATTCCTTGCGTCGACTGGTCTGATTCTTGTGTAAACTGGTTAGGAGTGGCTGAACCTCGAGGGGCCGAGGTCGACTGACGAGGGATCCAGGTCGGCCAACGAAGGACCGGGTCGACCAATGAGGGACCGGGTCGACCAATGAGGGACCCAGGTCTACCAGCGAGGGACCCAGGTCGATCAATGAGGGACCCAGGTCGACCAATGAGGGACCCAGGTCTACCAGAGAGGAACCGGACCGACCGATGAGGGACCAGGTCGACCAACGAAGGACCGGGTCGACCAATGAAGGACCGGGTCGACCAATGAGGAACCGGGTCGACCAATGAGGGACCCAGGTCTACCAACGAGGGACCGGGTCGACCGATGGTCTCTTCACTTCGAGGTTCCTTTTCTCCGATCCTTTCTCTATGGTGCGTGGTCCTTTCTTCTTAGTCCACGGCCCCTTGTCCCTTCAATCCAACTGTCCCCTGGGTTCTTCACAATTTAGGAAACCACTTCACCACAGCCGCCCCTTGCACTTGCTTGGCTGTACAGCGGCTTGAGTACGTGCATGTATTCCCTCGTCAATCACGTTGGGTTTTCTGCTTGCTCTTTTTTAAGTAGTCCGTGACCAGCCTGGGTCACTCCAGCTGTGGTTTCAATCTTCGATACAATGAGCTGCATTCTTGAAGGAACCAGGTCTACTGATGAGGGACCCAGGTCTACCAACGAGGGACCGGGTCTACCGACGAGGGGCCGATGTCGACCGACGAGGGACTCAGGTCTACCGATGAGGGACCCAGGTCTACCAATGAGAGGTCCAGGTCTACCGACGAGGGGTCAAGGTTGACCGACGAGGGACCATGACCAACCATCCAAAGAGCTTTCTATTGGCTAAAAATTCAACCAATCAGAAACCTGAAATTTTGTTGGTCGTCCACGCGTCACCATTCCGTGAGCTCGCTGTTCCTGTTTCGCGCCCCTGGTCTTCCGCCTGCTACACTCCCGTTAGGGTGTGCCCGCGGTACTTGGCGTTCATTTAAAAATCTTGTCATCGCCGCGTCGAAGAGGGTCTGCAGATCACCTACCGGGTAGGTAGGTCCCTCCCCCCCCAGCATCTTCGTCACGGGGCAGAGCATTCCAACTTTTTCTCGTGCTGATTTCCCATTGGTTGAAAATCGGGATGATTTTCATTCTTGCCACGTGTCGCCGTTTCGAGACCCCGTGGTTCCTGCTTCGCGCTGCGCGCTCGGGTTTGGAGCAGCGTCGCTCCAGTAGGGTTTAGGGGCATCCTAGTGACCGAACCAGTCGAGGACGATCCTGGGAACCACGTAGCTGCTTGCCTCTGGCCGCTTGGCATCAGGTGTTGGGATGGACCTTGATTCGCCCCTGGGCGGCCGGCGGCTCCGTACATGTGGGGACTCACCGTGATGTCTTGAAGCGTCATCTGGCTGTCCCTGGACCGTGTTCGTGTGTTTGTCGTCAGAGGTGGGTGTTCCGTTGCTGGTGTGGTACCCACCAGGATCGACAGACGCTTGTGCATGTGCTCTAACGTTGTTGTGATTCTGTCGAATCCCAGGTACAGCAGGTCGTCCGGGTCGAACCGACCTGCGACCATGTTCGCTTCACTAAGCATGGTGACCAGCGCTGTGATCGCGTCCGTGACGGAGTGCATCCGTGGTAGGGTCGACACCGGTTCAGTAAGTTGACCCAGCTGCCGGATCTCCAGGATCTTCGCGACGGGGTCGCTCTCCAGGAACGCGTTCAGCTTGCGTTGGTGGTAGGCCCTCGTGACATCAGCGTCTGACCATGATGCCAGTCCTGACTTCTCGGGGCCTATCGACTTGGTGTTTCCGGGTGCCTTCATCCGGAACTTGGTCGGCTTGGATTGCGCGATCTTTGTTTGTTGTTTTTCGGGGACCTTAGCCTCTCGGTTTTCACCGTCGGCTGATGGTCCTCTGGATCATGATAGGCATCATGACCCAAGGTGTCCTCAACGAGGACATAGGGAGGGTATTTAGGTTTCTCTTCAATAAACTCAACCTCGACCATGTTGACCGGGCCCCTCCCAAGGTCCGGTCGGTCTTTCGATCCTTTGTGTTTTTCTTCTTGAGTCACTGGCGATCGGTCTTCCAGTGGCTCTTCGGTCTTGTGCTCCTTCTTGACATGAACATCTTTATCGTCTTGGGACTCGCGGTGAAATCCCGCGTCTTCCGAAGATCCGGGCACGCGCACCATTGTGGTGGAGTGGGTTCTCAAAATTGTATGATGAGACCCCAAACCACTCACTGTGCCGGACTGCCGACTGTCGGAGGGGGTACCCCGATGCCGCGTATGAACCTTCTCTACCCGTCGGCTGGCGGGTTGCAATCTTCGGAGGACTTGAGTAAAAAGATGCAGACGACTGCCTTGAGGGAGGCAGACCTGGGGGGCCTCGAGTGGATATGATTCACTCGGTCGGCCGGTAGGTGGCCACTCGATCGACCTTGTCGAGAGTGGACTTAGAGCCAAATTCTTCAGGGAGCTTGTCGTCCCTGGCCTTTTCCTTCTGTTTCAGGGGCATCAACCACCTGACCTTTACGTTGCTCCCGGACCTGGAGGTGAGGGAGACCGCTTCCAATAGCGGGTCTTGGGGGGTGTTGCTCGAACGAGCTCACAGGCCAAATATATCCTGGAGCTCTATTCGCACTTGAACTTCGCTACACAACTGTCTTCGACGGGGGGCCAAAAGATATCCCTTCCCGGAACAGTGAGTAACTTAGAGCAAGTTCTTCTTGGGTGACGGAGTCGTGCCACGTAGATCCCAATTTGAGTAGTATTTAATATAGTCCTATCCTTTTAACTCCTTTACTCTATCCTTGCCTGAAGCTCTGATTCCTTGCGTCTACTAGTCTGATCCTTGTATCAACTGGCCAAGAGTGGCTGAACCCCGAGGGGCCGAGGTCGACTGACGAGGGATACAGGTCGGCCAACGAAGGACCGGGTCGACCAATGAGGGACCGGGTCGACCAATGAGGGACCCAGGTCTACCAGCGAGGGACCCAGGTCGATCAATGAGGGACCCAGGTCGACCAATGAGGGACCCAGGTCTACCAGAGAGGAACCGGACCGACCGATGAGGGACCAGGTCGACCAACGAAGGACCGGGTCGACCAATGAGGAACCGGGTCGACCAATGAGGGACCCAGGTCTACCAACGAGGGACCGGGTCGACCGATGGTCTCTTCACTTCGAGGTTCCTTTTCTCCGATCCTTTCTCTATGGTGCGTGGTCCTTTCTTCTTAGTCCACGGCCCCTTGTCCCTTCAATCCAACTGTCCCCTGGGTTCTTCACAATTTAGGAAACCACTTCACCACAGCCGCCCCTTGCACTTGCTTGGC